AGCCTGGGGTAGCAGAAGGTGTCCCTGGCATGGCAGGGGGTGGGACTGGCTCGTCCTCACAGCCCCTTCCCACCCCAACCATCCCACGGCTCCGTGACACGAGCCCAGGGTGGGGTCCCCCGAGCCCGGTGTGGCTGGGGAGGAGGAGCTGCTCCCTGCCAGCCCTGCCCTGCTGCCAAAGCTCACCGTCATCATGTAGTCCTGGAGCAGCTCGGTGGCCGTGGTGCTGAGCTCGCTCTCGCTGGCCGTGGTCACGTGCGGGGACGGGCGCGCCGAGGAGGACGGGGACGCGTCCCCCGCCTCCAGCGTGTCTGCAAAGGAACTGACACCGCACCCCCTGAGCCCCCCGCGCCCCTGGGGGCTCTGGGGGGCTGCGCTCTGACCCTCGGGGTGTTCTGGAAGCCCCCAGCTCCTGGGAGCACCCCAAGACTCCCCGGGAACCGAGCGCTGCTTTGGTGACAGTGACAATGAAATGTGGGAATCATCCCTCTGGATTCCTCCTCGGGAACAAGGCAGGGAGAACCCCCACACCCTGGGCTCAGATGTGGGATTTCCCACAAGGCTCCCACTCCCCCCACGTTGGCCAGTGGTGTGTGTGGGTCAGGATTTCATCCCACAAGCGCTGGCCCTGCTCCCAGGAGGGGAGAGTTTCACAAATAACCAGTTCTGGGGGGAAAACCCTTCTCCCGCTGCAGCTGGGCTCCAGCTGCTGAGCCAGCACCGTGCTGAGGCGGGGACGCTGTGGATGTGATGCCCTGGAATGCTGAGGGCAGAACAATCTGGGATCCAGGATCTGTGCCAGCCCCCCGGGCTGGGCTCAGCCGAGCCCGTGCTGATGGCAGCAGGTCCGGGTTAATCCCGGCCCCGGGGGCTGGGGATCACTCACAGATCCGGGTTAATCCCGGCCCCGGGGGCTGGGGATCACTCACAAAGTGCTGGCCTCCGCCTCGAAGGGCTCCTTCACGTCCACTTTGGTGGAAGAGTCATCTGGAAGGGAAAGATTTGGGAGCTGGAACGTGAGAGGCACAAACTCGGTGTCCTCCCAAGCCGGGAGGGACACAGAGCGGGTGCGGAGCGGGCTGGAAGAGGCCGGGAGCCAGGGAGCAGGGGAGGCTCAGGCTGGAGCTCACGATTCCCCCAGGCCCAGGGAGGGCTGGAGCGCCCGTCCCTGGGGCTGTGGCACTGGGGACAGGGGCAGGGGTGGCGCTGAGGGCAGCGGGACACACGCACCGCTGTGCAGGGACAGGTGCCGCGTGGGCGTCGAGGCGCCGTCGAAGATGGCGCGGTCCAGGAAGTCGATGGTGGACTCGGTGTAAACGATCTGGAAGACTTGGCTGAGCAGGGAGCACAGCTCCTCGGCACCCACCTGGGAAGGG